GAAAATTCTTACGGTCCAAATTTCACTTCCACAAGCTATAAAAGCGCGTTCTGATTGGTCGACATAAAGAGTCGCTGGTTTCAGCACACGTATATATGTATCTTTCCACTCTTTTTTGTTGTGAGACGTTCCTTTAAGACTACATTTGAGGATAATTCTACAAGTCATGCAATGTACTTCCATTGCACCCCTTTAAAGGTAGATTGTGCTGATGACACACACGAAAGATAGCATGCAATGTATGTGACATAATCATTTTTATTTGTTACGGCACGGTTTGACAACCGTGATGTCATCCAAAATGGGGGCCGTTATAAAACATGGCAAGTTTAAAAACACGTTAAATTGTTTTTTTTACCATTTTCGTAAAATCTGGAATAGTGATCAGCTCACCGAACAAGTCTATCAGCCACTGGGTACTCAAGATGACTGTGCTACGGTACTTGATAATTATCCCCAGGTCATGATAGAAATTCACCATAGTAGTAAACTCTTCCTCATCATCGATGAAGCACTTCTCCTTGGCATGGGTCCGTAGCTTTGTTATACTCAGGTAATAAACTGGCTTGGAAAGCAAAACGTTGAGGACTTTCTCAAAGTTCAGCAACCTAGTTTACAAAACCAAAGAGAAAATTGATATAGCTAGCTTTAAGTATCCATGCCACGACACAATATACCTGTCCTGACTAAAGTACAGGGCCTAGTTGTGCGAAAGGTGGATAACTGTATTCACTGGATAAATATCTGAGTGTGATCCACTTTACTTTACCTTTCTAAAACGACAATTGAAATGTACACAGTGCTTTTTGGTCAATTCGTAATGACGTTATCAAACCCTTCAGGGCAGAATATTCCTTAAGGCCAGTCAAAACTGCTTTTCATGGTGAAATTGTTTCAAACAACGAGATATTCATTTCTTATGAGGCTTTCTTCTGCAATTCCGCACCTTAGTGGGAACTCATGGAATTTCGCGCCAGTGTCAAAAAATATTTCATTCGCTTAGTTAGTTGGATTGCACCAATAACTATGATTGTACATTATGCCTTTTGTATTAATTTACTGAGCTTTTGCCATAGTTCTCAACCCTTACCCTAACCTACAAATGCACAGAGTCGAATAGATATCCACAAGTAGACGAAATTGCAAGATACGATGCCTGGAGACTTCCGCCGTCTTTCCCAATTTGTAGGAGAGGAGATATACAAGGTTGTTCCTTTTCTGTTAATAAATTATCGTATTTATATGGCACTCGATGAGACAATGAAAACGATTCTTCTTTACGTTTGACGTAGCAAATATAGAAATAACCTGCGATCAGGCCTCCCAAAGAAAATGGGAAAATCTAAGGACCGCCTGATCGCAGGTTAATGAAGAAAAATCAGATATAGTGAGAGATTCCCTCCCTGCCCAGGATATCATCTAGCAAACAAAAGCAGATTGTTTACTTTTCTCCGTGTTAGCGTATATGCTTTACCTTTTAAACGACTTTTAAAAACCGTTAGCACCGAGTGTGAATTTATTTGCAGCGTCCGAGTATCGGCCAAATGCGACTGCTAGAGGCAAATACTGCAAATGAATCCTCTTGTTTAAAAAAAAATTTACCAACCATGTTTGTGCTCATTTATCCTTTTACGAGCCAGATATTTTGCATAAACAATGACATCATGCAAAGATTTACTTATAACGAAAAAAATCGAGATGACCTTTTACAGTATAATGGAATCAATTTCACAACTCGGAAAAATGGCTCGAACTTCAGCTAAATCGGAAAACCCTAATGCTCCAGTAGTCAATCGTCGTGTGCGCGGGAGATCTTTACCGTGGATCACACCTACTATAAAGGACTTGATGAAAAAGCGCGATTATCATCACAAAAAAGCCATTAAAACTAACAAAGAGCTTCACTGGAGCAGCTACAAAAGGTTGCGTAACGCTGTGTCGATGAAACTTCGTAAGGAAAAAGCCAGTTATTATGCAAATCAGCTATGTGAAAAACAGGACTCGCGTAAATTGTGGAAAACTCTGAACGAGCTTATACCAAACAAGAAGCAACACAAAACTGCGAATGCTCCAGCCTCTGAAAATTTAACGGCTACTAGCTTTAATGAGTTTTTCACGTCAATGGTTGAGAAACTATGTGGTCATTACAAAAGTAAGACCAGGCTGCCCGATATTTTAACTCCTAGAGTTGCGCAAAACTTTGTTGTTCAAAAGGTGTCAACTAACTTTGTTTTGAAGTAATATTTCAAAAACGAGTGCGAGTGTTTTACCGGGTTTTCCACACACGAGAAAACTGATGAAACGGCCGAGGGCTTTTATTGTTTTCGAGTGTTTGGAAACACCGGTAAAACACGAAGCACGAATTTTTGAAATGGCTTCTCAATCGGCGCCTAATTGAAAACAAAAGAACAAAAGAAAGCAAAAATCACATAAGCATATGATTTTTGCCTTCTTTTGTTTAATCAGGGCATAGTTTGTGATGATAATGTCCGTAATTTTTTACAATTGAAGCTTGTTTATTTCAAGTAGTCACAATTTGCATTCAGTGGCGTTCTGCTAGTTCCGAAACATGGAAGGGTTAGCTGAGGATGAATCTTGCCGGTTTCGACCGCCCAAAAGTGTGCAAGAAGAAGATTCTTTGCTTGTACAGTCCAAGCCTAAAAGTACACAGTATAAAGACAAGTGGGCCGTTGAGGTTTTCAGAACTTGACAAGCAGCGCGCGAGCAAAAATTCTGTATACTTGACGCGGGAAGTGTGTTCAAAGATTATGATGTTCACCGTGTGCAAAGTCTCGAAGAGAAGTTGGAGGACCTGGATAGTCTTTCCCTAAACTATTGGCTCACAAAGTTCGTCCAAGAAGTTGCTAATAAGAACGGTGGTCGCTATCCGTCTCGTTCCTTCTATGGAATTGTTTGTGGCTTAGAGCGGTATTTGGAGGACGTAAATGGAGGGAATGAATTGAATCCTTTAGACAGCAGTCATAAGTGGTAAGTTTGGAGAAGTTATACTTTAAACAAATGTGCTTTATAGAAACTTAGAATGTTTACGAAATTTATGATTTACTACTTTTCAGGTTTGCTATTTTTCGTCGATGCTTAGACGCAGAAATGAAAGACGAAAATGTAAACACCAAACAATAGAAGTAATAAAGCTTTGTTTAAGTTGTGTATTGCTTTTTCTAACTAATTTCCAAACACGCGTGTTTGGATAAACACGCTGCTCTTTACCGCGGTATCAAGATGCATCCATGTGACCTAAATGCGGGTACGCAATTGGTTTATCACTTGATGAATTATTAATAAGTTTGAGAAGGAGCTGTCTAACTGGCAAGGTGACTAAAGCCTCGGGTCCTGATCATGGTATCTCTGCAAGACTTTTGAATGATGCAGCTCCAGTTATAGCTGAACCGATCACGTATCTGGTTAACCTTACTATTTCAACAGGACTTATTCCAGCTGAGTGGAAGGATGCAAGAGTAACACCTATTTTTCAATCACGAGCAAGGAACGATGTCAATAATTACCGACTAATCTCAGTTCTTCCCCTGGTGTCAAAGATTATGGAACGCGCTATTCAAGTCCAATTCTTGGCTTTTTTGACCTTACTATTTCAACAGGACTCATTCCTGCTGAGTGGAAGGATGCAAGAGTAACACCTTTTTTTAAATCAGGAGCAAGGAACGATGTCAATAATTACCGACTAATCTCAGTTCTTCCCCTGGGCCCAGTTGTTCGAAGGCCGATTAGCGCTTAACCCGGGGTTAAATTTAACCCGGGTTTCTTTTTCTTGTGTTCAAAAGCATTTTCTCGGATAATTTTCTCTGTTATATTTAGAGCTTTCAATCATCAACTTGTACACAAAAAGAATTAAAACTGAAATGCTTTTTAAGCTTTCAAATCTGAATTCAAATCTCGCACTAACCCTGGGTTATCTTAACCCAGCTTTGAACAACTCGGCCCTGGTGTCAAAGGTTACGGAGCGCGCTATTCAAGTTCAATTCTTGGCTTTTTTGACAGAACATGACTTATTGTCAGACTTCCAGTCGGGTTTTCGAAAGAAGCACTCTACTGAAACTGCGGTAGTTTACCTCACTGATTATATTTTGGAACATATGGTTAGGCAAATGATTACAGGAGTTGACTGTTCATTGACTTGAAGAAAGTTTTCCACTTGGTCGACCATGAATGTTTGCTTTTTAAGTTAGAACACTGTGGAGTCAGAGGAAATAGTCTGGACTGGTTCCGGAACATATCTTAATTTATCAAACTCTCACTGAATTCGCGAAACCCCCGATAACTGAAAAAAAAACCCTGGCTTCCCTTTCCCAGGCAAATAGTGGAATTTTACCTCGGTTTTTTTTTAACTACAATACAAATAACTACAATATCCACTGTGCTTACCTACAACACCACGTACAAGTACCCCTTTCCTCCTTAACTTTAAGGCACGTCTTACTGCGTCAACAGTTAAAGGATTACGAATCACACTCAGCTCCCTCAGCTCTGAGGTCACTAATCTCAGAAGCTAGTTCAGTTAGTTTATTTCCACTCAAGCCCAGCTCTTCAAGTTTGGTCAGCCTCTGTAATATACTGGTAGGTAAACCAACCAACTGGTTGTATCTCACCCACAGCTCCCTCGGCTCCCTGAGGTCACTAATCTCAGCAGGTAGTTCAGTTAGTTTATTTCCACTCAAGTCCAGCTTTTCACGCTTGGTCAGCCTCTGTATACTGGTAGGTAAACCAACCGACTGGTTGTTCCTCACCTACAGTTCCCTCAGCTCCCTGAGGTCACTAATCTCAGCAGGAAGTTCAGTTAGTCTATTTCCGCTCAAATCCAGCTCTTCAAGCTTGGTCAGCCTCTGTATAGTGGTAGGTAAACCAACCAACTGGTTGTTACTCATACTCAGCTCCCTCAGCTCCCTGAAGTCACTAAATATCTCAGCAGGTAGTTCAGTTAGTTTATTTCCACTCAAGTACAGCCAATTTAAGCTTGGTCAGCCTCTGTATACTGGTAGGGAAACCAACGAACTGGTTATTACTCATACTCAGCTCCCTCAGCTCCCTAAGGTCAACAATCTCCACAGGTAGTTTAGTGAGTTTATTATTTTTCAAGTTTAGCAGGATGAGATTTTTCAGTTTCTTGATACTTACTGGTAATCCATCCAGCACAAGTATCTGTATTTCACTCAGTTCAGTGACTGCTTTAGGTACCCTGAAGAGTCCTGCTCCTTTCAGATCCAACACTGTTAATCTATAACCATATTTATCTTTTACGTAAGCTCCCAATTCTGTACTGGAATAATGCACCATGTTTCAAATTGTTAATTAAAAGTCTTGACAGTTCTTCTTATCATCTAGAAATAACAAAAATATTAACCTATGGAAATATCAAAATCATATCATCAATATAGGTGAATTTTAGAAAATTAAAATGAAAGAAATCTTGAGCAGATGTTGTTAGTGCATTCAAAAAATCTTTAATTAGTAGACTATATTATTAACTCTACAGATTTTTTACTTGTAGCTTATTTAAGTGGCATTTCATCCAGTTGACCTCGTCACTGGCAAGTGAAAAAATTAGCTGAGGATGAATCTTGCCGGTTTCGACCGCCCAAAAGTGTGCAAGAAGAAGATTCTTTGCTTGTACAGTCCAAGCCTAAAAGTACACAGTATAAAGACAAGTGGGCCGTTGAGGTTTTCAGAACTTGACAAGCAGCGCGCGAGCAAAAATTCTGTATACTTGACGCGGGAAGTGTGTTCAAAGATTATGATGTTCACCGTGTGCAAAGTCTCGAAGAGAAGTTGGAGGACCTGGATAGTCTTTCCCTAAACTATTGGCTCACAAAGTTCGTCCAAGAAGTTGCTAATAAGAACGGTGGTCGCTATCCGTCTCGTTCCTTCTATGGAATTGTTTGTGGCTTAGAGCGGTATTTGGAGGACGTAAATGGAGGGAATGAATTGAATCCTTTAGACAGCAGTCATAAGTGGTAAGTTTGGAGAAGTTATACTTTAAACAAATGTGCTTTATAGAAACTTAGAATGTTTACGAAATTTATGATTTACTACTTTTCAGGTTTGCTATTTTTCGTCGATGCTTAGACGCAGAAATGAAAGACGAAAATGTAAACACCAAACAATAGAAGTAATAAAGCTTTGTTTAAGTTGTGTATTGCTTTTTCTAACTAATTTCCAAACACGCGTGTTTGGATAAACACGCTGCTCTTTACCGCGGTATCAAGATGCATCCATGTGACCTAAATGCGGGTACGCAATTGGTTTATCACTTGATGAATTATTAATAAGTTTGAGAAGGAGCTGTCTAACTGGCAAGGTGACTAAAGCCTCGGGTCCTGATCATGGTATCTCTGCAAGACTTTTGAATGATGCAGCTCCAGTTATAGCTGAACCGATCACGTATCTGGTTAACCTTACTATTTCAACAGGACTTATTCCAGCTGAGTGGAAGGATGCAAGAGTAACACCTATTTTTCAATCACGAGCAAGGAACGATGTCAATAATTACCGACTAATCTCAGTTCTTCCCCTGGTGTCAAAGATTATGGAACGCGCTATTCAAGTCCAATTCTTGGCTTTTTTGACCTTACTATTTCAACAGGACTCATTCCTGCTGAGTGGAAGGATGCAAGAGTAACACCTTTTTTTAAATCAGGAGCAAGGAACGATGTCAATAATTACCGACTAATCTCAGTTCTTCCCCTGGGCCCAGTTGTTCGAAGGCCGATTAGCGCTTAACCCGGGGTTAAATTTAACCCGGGTTTCTTTTTCTTGTGTTCAAAAGCATTTTCTCGGATAATTTTCTCTGTTATATTTAGAGCTTTCAATCATCAACTTGTACACAAAAAGAATTAAAACTGAAATGCTTTTTAAGCTTTCAAATCTGAATTCAAATCTCGCACTAACCCTGGGTTATCTTAACCCAGCTTTGAACAACTCGGCCCTGGTGTCAAAGGTTACGGAGCGCGCTATTCAAGTTCAATTCTTGGCTTTTTTGACAGAACATGACTTATTGTCAGACTTCCAGTCGGGTTTTCGAAAGAAGCACTCTACTGAAACTGCGGTAGTTTACCTCACTGATTATATTTTGGAACATATGGTTAGGCAAATGATTACAGGAGTTGACTGTTCATTGACTTGAAGAAAGTTTTCCACTTGGTCGACCATGAATGTTTGCTTTTTAAGTTAGAACACTGTGGAGTCAGAGGAAATAGTCTGGACTGGTTCCGGAACATATCTTAATTTATCAAACTCTCACTGAATTCGCGAAACCCCCGATAACTGAAAAAAAAACCCTGGCTTCCCTTTCCCAGGCAAATAGTGGAATTTTACCTCGGTTTTTTTTTAACTACAATACAAATAACTACAATATCCACTGTGCTTACCTACAACACCACGTACAAGTACCCCTTTCCTCCTTAACTTTAAGGCACGTCTTACTGCGTCAACAGTTAAAGGATTACGAATCACACTCAGCTCCCTCAGCTCTGAGGTCACTAATCTCAGAAGCTAGTTCAGTTAGTTTATTTCCACTCAAGCCCAGCTCTTCAAGTTTGGTCAGCCTCTGTAATATACTGGTAGGTAAACCAACCAACTGGTTGTATCTCACCCACAGCTCCCTCGGCTCCCTGAGGTCACTAATCTCAGCAGGTAGTTCAGTTAGTTTATTTCCACTCAAGTCCAGCTTTTCACGCTTGGTCAGCCTCTGTATACTGGTAGGTAAACCAACCGACTGGTTGTTCCTCACCTACAGTTCCCTCAGCTCCCTGAGGTCACTAATCTCAGCAGGAAGTTCAGTTAGTCTATTTCCGCTCAAATCCAGCTCTTCAAGCTTGGTCAGCCTCTGTATAGTGGTAGGTAAACCAACCAACTGGTTGTTACTCATACTCAGCTCCCTCAGCTCCCTGAAGTCACTAAATATCTCAGCAGGTAGTTCAGTTAGTTTATTTCCACTCAAGTACAGCCAATTTAAGCTTG